AAATCCCTGGCTGATCTGATCTCTTGGGTACCAGGAAGAATTTCTGATGAATATAGCACTAATCTCCAATTAAGTTACAAATGTACCTTCTTTTCTGGATTTATAAAAGACGTGCAAAGTATCATCACTGACAGAGTCACCTAACACCCTGTCAGTCAGGGTGCTGGTAGTAGTCCCATCAAATGGTGGCTGCAGAACTCCTAGACTGATGGCTCTGTTGAACCTACTGATTATGCAGTTTAGTGAATCGAGTTTCAGGGTGAAAGGACTCTCTGGGCCCTCCCTAATTCTTCCCTATTAATTACCCTCCATTCTAGTCATTGTCTTGAAAAACACATTCTCCTGACCAAGTGGAGGTCTTGGACACAGTTTGCTCAGAAAGCCATTGATACCACTGTAGCACTGCTGTGGTATCTCCAGGAATATATGAACTGCTTTCTCTTATTGAGACAGAAGTAGACCAGATGCCTCCACATCTCCTATTGCCTGCAGAGCAAATTCTCTAAAACAAACCTGTGGAATCTGCTGCTGGATCTGTCAGACTGTCCCCTTAGCTGGGGACTGGTTTATGGGACTGAGCAGTGGAAGCAGAGCATGTGCCTGGTTTGATTTCTTTCCTAGCATCAAAAGCAGAGTCTAACATGGTCCAGATCACATTGGCTCAGGTTGTTTAGTTTTGGTTTTCCTTTTTCTGTGTGACATAATCTTTGAGCCCAAAGTGGTGGTCAAGCTGCCAGATAGCTCCATTTTCCTCTACCCTGAATGACATGGGAATTTATTCTTGACATTTTGGATTCATTCCTTCACAAAATGTCATCTAGATGTTTTGGAACATGGCTCCAGACTGTTGTGTTGCTGTGCCATCATATCCAGGTGTGTTGTTGCACCATCAGGTACTCCCAAGGCAAGTTCCATAAGCTGACATAGAAATGCCAAACTTCCTTCCATCTCCCTGCACTGGTTTTCCACACTCCAGCTTCCACATGATGGGAATGTTAGCTCGTGTTAGTGCCTTTCTGACTCCACACCATCTACCATTGCTTGGTTCTGGATGGGACAGCAATGATTTAATGTTGTGTTGGCACCCAGTGTCTTGCTGAAGGTTCACAGAGTTGCATCCTTGCTGAAGGCCATTAATACTGGGGGCTGCTCATCCCAAGGCATCATTAAGGATACATGAGGGCAATTGATTTGATCCCTAGCAGTCCCACAAATACCAGGCAAGATTTAGGTAATGTGTTGCTAGTTACCCATGAGATCTGAGGTTTAATTGCAACTTCTTTGGCTTCTAGTCACTAGAGCTGGATGCTTATCCCCTAGGAAAGGAATTTATCGAATTAATTTCACTTTGCGTTGGCACAGTCACTATTCCCAGCCTTGAACAAATCCCATCATTGCATGCAGACTGCAGCTCAGGCTATAGGTTGCTCTTAAGCAGTATTCAGTATTTTTAGAGCAATAACTATAGTTCTTTTCAGTGTCAGCTCTTTGGGTCATACGTGTAATTTAAACAGTACATTTCTATTCCCTGCTTAGATGGATGTAACTGTCAGGAACATTATTTCTACTCATAATTACAAATATGACATTCATTTCCCATGAATACTCTCTACTATTTGCTTAAAGCTAACCTCCATGAATACTGCTGCTGGTGAATTTTCTCTTATCTGAAAGCTAATGCAGAAATGTCACATCTCTAAAGAACCCTCTTTGAATGGTGGGGCTATAACATGAACCTCTGCTCCACAGAGCAAAGACTAATCAAATGAAAAACAAACACTGGGAAAAGTAGGCAACCTTGCAATCTCTTGTGTGGACTGACCAGTAGAGAAGGCAAGAAATCTCGATGCAAGTTAGGGAAAATTAAATTACTACTAAAGGAAATCAATGGATGATGACTCTAGAAACACCTTTGCTGTTTAATTCGCCCAGTCTTCTTCTGACACCTGCACTTCCCTACCTTTGAGTATGCAGACAGGGAATTTTGTGTGCTGTTGTGACTCCTTTTTGGGTTTTTACTGACTACCCAGATAGCTTCTCTTATGCCCTCGACTGGTAGCTCAGCAGGAGAGTTCAATGAATGCACATTTTCCTTAAGGTGTCTAATTCCTTCTCAGGAAATTTGGATGAACATAGACCAAAATCACACAAACTCAGCCTGAAACCAGACTTAATTGCCCAAGTCCCTGGGGTCACATGAATAACACCACCATGCATTTAGCTCTTTGCAGAAGAACTGATGTTATTGTCAGAATCTGAGCCAAAGTCTCCAAAGAAGGCCAATATTTCTGCAAGACTATTTTGAGCTCAGTTGAATCAACGTGGTAAAACTTGAGCCAAATCTGAATCTTGGGCTTTGGATCAGGACTGTCCCTCCTGCTCAGGCCTGTTTATTTTCTGGATAGTCCTCCAGCTCTGGAAGCATCAGGATCAGAGATTAATTTCTCCCGTCTAGGAGGGCAGAAATTGCAGTCTGTCACTAGCACTTGTCACAATCAACTTCAGCTAAAAAAACCAGTGAAATTAAGAGAAACACCTCACTACTCACCTCCCACAGTGTTCAGGCTTCATCCCCCAGCTGATCCTACATTCATACACTCCATTCAGCAGACTGTGTTTTTAAAAATCCAAACACACATGCACAGGCATCCAAAAAATGTTACCCACCTCTTAATTATTTTAGTTCTTTTCTCTGATAACTCAATCCTTTTTAATTTGGCTTTATCCTTCCAAACTCAGGGTAGTTTTGGTCATTGTGTTCTTCCCACCCACCCCTCCCTTTTACCACTTTTGCATATATTTTAATAAAATTTTCTCATATATTTTCTGTAAATGTTTTCTTTTTTCTTTTTTTTTTTTTTTTTTGTGGACAGAGAAAGTGTAAGTGAAACAAGGATATTATTCACAGCCACAGAAACATAAGAAACTAAAAGGAATTTTTCCTTTCCCAAAGAACAAAAACGACCTATGTAACCTTCAGTGTCTCCTGGTTTCCTTGGAAATGTATTTTCTTGCATTGTGCTTTGGTTTTTGTGATGATGAGGGTTTCCCAGTGTTATTGGAAAACCCAGAACCTGAGGCAGAAAGCCAAACTCAGGTTTGCCTGTAAGTCTAGATCTGTCAAAGTGGCACATGATTTTGGCTTTCTCTGCTTTAGGAACTCTGTTGAAGTACCTTAAAGATGAGTGACTGAAGATTTACAGGTGCTGCTCCTCAAGCTCTGGCACCACTGAAGGCAACAGTAGCTTGATGCAAGGCATGAACTCCAGGTCAGCAAAATAGCCAAAGGGACTCAACACATCCTGTTCTTCAGTGCTGAGACTCTACCTCTGGTGAAAAGTCTTCCAAGGTGGAAATCCCTAAGTGAAGACACCTGAGACCTTCGCCCACCCTCCACCTCTTATGTGTCTTCTCATCAAGGAGGCACTAGTTTTACTCTCAAAGGATTTGCCATCCCCTCCTGACCTTCATCAAAGCTCAGCATAGGCTGTGTGAATGACTCAACATAAAGCTGGCATAAATCTCAACAGAAGAAATATCTTTTATCTTTAACCATTTACTCCCACTATAGGAATAATGGCAGCTCTTTTACATTTACATAGAACTCTTGTTTGTATGTTTGCTTTGATTTGTTTTTGTATGTCTCTTTGTCTTGGCACCTGCATAGCAGAAAACTTTACAGTTCATTACAGAAGTTTGCCCCTCTCTCTGCTCCTCCCTTTATTTACTCTGCTGCCCCTGAGGACTAGCAAGCAACACCCCCAAGGTCAAGAGAGAGTAAGGTGTTCCCCTTTTATGACGGATTATAGAAATAACAAACATGCCTGACAGTTTTATACAGCTGCTAGAACGGGTTTAGTTTTCAACAAATGAAGAATTTCCTTTTTTTTTTTTTTGCCTCTTTTGTATATTAATTACATTTTACAAATCTTGGGTTTCCCCTTTCCTTATTTCCCCCCACTTTTCCTTCCTTCTTTTTCCTTTTTTTTTTTCTCCTCTTTTTTTTTTCTTTTTTTTTCTCTTTTATTTTTTTTTTTTTTTTTACAGCAAAAGGATCAATCACCAACGTGTCCATGGATAAGTCCGGGTTAGCAGAGTTTGGCTGTCATCTGGTCCGACTGTTTGAGGATCTCGGTGTTGTACAGGTCCAGAGCGTGGTTCACACGGATGATCTCGCTGTTGGTGAGTTTCAGGCGGTGCTTGAGCATACAAGAGAACAGATCCAGCTGGGGCTTCCCTGGGGCTACGGGAGGCGCCAGTCTATTGATTCGGTCCCGAATATCCAGCAGCAAGAGCATGACAGAGGAGGAGGAGTAGAACTGACCACCTTGCGTGTACGACTGGTTGACCTGCTGCACAGCACTGCGCAGTAGGTCGGCGTTAAAACGCAGGCTGTAGCCATACACCTGCACATCCGAGATCTTGATGTAGAACTGACGCTTGGTGGGGTCAGAAAGGTCCACAGGCCCTTGGCCAGTCTCGTTGCGTAGCAGGGAAGGCAGCCGAGTTCGGCTGCGTAGGTAGATGTGGACGGTCTCAAAAAAGGTTTTCCACCGGTTGCCCAGTAGCAGGGTCCAGTTGTAGCACTGGCTGTTTTGGAGGCGGATTTTCTCCCAGCGTGGGTAGCCGTACTCCCCAAAGGGCATGTTCCAGCCCTCGGAGTGACTCCCGCTGAACGGGTTGACGTAGACAAAGAACATTGGGTCCAGGCTGCTGTTGCGCATCTGGCAGATGCGCATGGAGATCCCAATCACCATGTGGATGAAGTCCATCCGGTTCTTGTTGCTCTTCAAGGTGAGGGACATGCGTTTGCGCCACCTGGGGTCGAAGAAGGTGTCCAGGCGGATCTCGTTGCTGATGAAAGTGGTGTGCACGTACAGGCGAGAGTCCATCTTCTGCAGCAAGTACTTCAGCTCTAGGTCTTGGAAGTCCAAGTCTGTCTCAAAGCTGATGAACTGCTCACTCCGCTCCGAGTCTACGTTCTGGGGCTCGCAGCGACCCCGGTAAAGCTTATAGCCCTTGTTGCATGAGCCGCAGAGAGAGATGTTGGCAAGGCTGCACATGGCACAGCTGTTGTTGCCCCCGATGATGCAGGGGATGGGACGCTGGCACAGGCTGGTGCCACCATGGCAAACGCAGCTCCGCTGGCTTTCCAGAAAGGTCCCCCAGAACCCATTCTCATTGCAGTACAGCAGGGACTGGACTCGGGTAAGCCATTCCTGTATCGTCCTGCAGGTGGGAAGAAGAAATCGTTAGGATTGTAGGGTCTCATGGAGTCTTTGGTGTTGGCATCTCACTAGACCTACAGTGTTTTTAGGGATATATCTGAGGCAGAGCTCTCAGAACATCAATGCCCTGCCGTGGCATCCGGGAGCTATTCCAGTCTATTTCTAGACTAAATCTTTCATCTGCTGTTTACTCCTTTGGTGGAGAGCAAAAATCTCCTGAGAAACAGATCATCTGAATTCTCTCTCTTCATACAGCTCTAGGAGTCGAGACTGGCACAGTCTCCTGCCAAGGATCCCGTCAGCACCACAGTGACAAAGTTCAGCCATGGGAATGGAGCTGATAAAGCCATGCCAGTGGCTCAGGCATTATGAGACATCACAGGTCAGCAGAAAAAAACCTCCTCTCCATGTCATTGAGAATTAGTCCCACTCTCCAAAACTAGACCCATAACAGGATGAGGCAAATCCAGTAATAACCTCTGCTTATGGTGCAGAGCTCAGTACCAGCAGAAAAGAAGGTGGAAGTCAGGATGCATAGAGACAAAGCCGCTGAAACCGTTTCTCCTGTATAAAAACACCCCATCCTGCTGCTAATTAACCACCTCTTGCAGCCATTTCCCTTAAAAACCAACCCCACTTGCCCATCCCTGGGCCTTACCACTCCCACAACTGCTGTATCAGCACCCTCACCTCCACATCCTGCAGCCCTGGAATGACTTCTAAGGAATGCCACTGCAACCCACCTTCACTTTTTGTATACCCACTTGCCATATTGCCTTGCTGCCCCTCTCTGCCCCCTCCCCACCACCCCAGGAAAGCTCAGCACAGCAACTCCTTTCTCAGCAGCTCTCAGCAGAACAGGCTGTGCAGCCCCTGCTCCCTCCCCTCTGCCTTCCCCGCCGCTAATGAATACTTCATTGTCTCCTCTGGCCAAAAAGTTCTTGGTAGCACTGCAGTGAGAAGACTGGCTAATGACAAATTAGGATTCAGCCCCTGTAGAAGGGGAGGAGTGATTATGGACAGAGGCTCTCAGAGCTGGATTAGTGAAATTCATGGCACCTGCATCGCCTGACCTCCGAATAATCATTAAGCTGTAGGCTGTATCAAAGAAGGCATTAAATGATACAACAGCAAAGAACAGCAAGATGATTAGGGGGAGGAAGAGAGTGGAGGGATGAGAGTATGGAACAGAGGAAAGCACTGGAAGGGAAGGAGTAATCAAGGAGAAGCAGAAAGGATAGGGAAGAAAGAGAGAAATATGTGCAGGTAGAAGGAGCAATGAGAGATGTGCTGTGGGCAGGAGGAATAGGGATGGAGAAAGGGAAAAACAGCAGCAACAACTAAAAGACAGAGAACAGGCAGGAATTAAAAGAAGGAGGAAGAAATGGAGTGAAAGGGAAAAAAAAAAGGAGACAGGGTGAGGAAAAAGAAAGGGCATTAGCAGAAAAATTCTGAAGCCTTGAATGTGGGAACAGACAATTTTCACATTCCTCCTGCGGTACAGAGCTGCCAGGGCCTCTTTCCCCTAGTCACAGCCACCAGGAGCACTGCTGCTACTGGAAATGACAAGGTTGGCTGGGGATCTTGGGAGCAAGGCAGTGACCTCCATAAATATCTGACAGTCTTGGTCCCTGGAAAAAGTGCACAGGGCTCCTACTGATTCCTGGGCCACAGAGGGGAGGGGACAGCACAGCACAGTGTGGCTGCAAAACAAGCTGCTGACAGCAACAAGCACTCTCAAAACCATCCCTGGGGGCCGAGGTTGCCTTCTGCTCAGAGGTGAATTTTTCCTCATTTTTTTTAGCAATACAAAATGTTTTACCCCATCTGAAGCTTTGTGGTTCCTGTTTGGAAAACCAGTCAAATGCACCTGGGTTTGTGCAGTGCTGGCTTGGCTTGATGCTTTACACAGGTTTTAGGTGTTGATAATGCCATTGAGTTCGTGGGGCAAGGACTGCCAGGCTATGCAACAGGGGACACAATAGAAATTAAGAGTCAGGCGACCATATTCTGTCCATCTTAGGTGTGTGACATCAGGAAGAATTTCTTCATGGAAAGGATTGTCAGGCATTGGAACAGGATGCCCAGAGAGGTGGTGGAGTCACCATCCCTGGAGGTGTTCAAGGAACCACTGGATGTGGCACTTAGTGCTCTGGTCTAATTTACAAGGTGGTGATCGGTCATAAGTTGGACTTAGTGATCTTGGAGGTCTTTTCCAACCTATGAATCTATGATTCTAAAGTGAAAATAAATATTACCTGTAGGCAAAGCTGTGAATGAGAGTAACTTTGCAGTGTTTTCTGGCTGTTGCTCACTGGAGACATGCAGTCCCCTGGCAATGCAGGGAACAGGTAATCAGCCAGAGCTGTTTCACCATTAAAAAACAATCTGTTGTGACCAAAAAAACCCCATGTTTTTCCAACAGTGTTGGGCTTTCAGACCAAAAGTGGAGGTCAGGTTATACAGAGAGGTGATGAATAATTTTCTTTCCTCCTGACTTGTCACCCTTCAGGATTAATCAGGTCTGGGGAAGGGAAGAGACTGGTGGGTGTCCCTCGAGACAAAGAGGCAGCTTTGTTGTATAGAGTGACTGAGCTGATTAAACAAACCATATCAAACCAAAAGAAACACAACAATCAACCAAATAATAATAATAACCAAAAATCTGATGCAGCAGGACAGATTCCTTTTTTATTACTATTTGCAAGAATCAAAGGTACAGATTTAACAAGTTTTCCCTTGCAAACTCACCTTTCACTTTCCAAGCAGCATTAGCTGCTCTAGGGGTACTTTGGGGTTTCTGTATGTTAACAGTGAAGTAAAAACTGCTATTTTTATTCTCAGCAGTTGTGAGATGTATTCCTAACTAATGACAATTTGGCTGGAGCCCAGAGCATGTATAGCCCTCCTTCTTCCTTGGATGTTATTTCTATTTTACATCCAGAGTTTTAAAATGCAACTGCAGGTTGCACCAGAGCTTTAACAACCGAGGAGTGGATTCTTTTTTAAAGCAACAAACTTGCTTCTTTTTTAAACCTGTAAACGTCACTGGTTTTAAGCAAAAGCAGTGCAGATCAAATATATCTGTAGCTCTATCTATCTTTATCTATATATTTATATCTATATCTCCTTCTTAGCTATTGCAAAGGGTCACGGAGAATCAGCCTAATTGCCAGAATCTTTACTCTTCCTTTCATATCTCTCTTTTGGAAACACTAACTCTTCCTTTCCCTGAGGACAACCAACAGCAATCCCATTTCTTTTTTTACATTGCCTTTGAATAGATAATGCAGCCTTACTATTATGTGCTTTAAAGAGAGAGAGGCTGTTCTTAATAGAACCTTTCCATCCTTTCAAAGCCACTGGCATGCTTGATAAGCATCTGTCTCTCTGTACAGTAACAATTAGGGAATGAGAGTATTTCCCTCCTCTGTGAAGAGAAGGATGGGATGAACACCTCTTCCACTACAGAGCTGTCTACTGAGCTGCTCCCCTGCCTAGCTACAGATGCAGAATGACAAATAAGAGAAGAAATTATAATATGCCTGCTGATGTTGACTTAAACAAATCAAGCACATCAGTCAGTTAAAAACCCAGCTGCCATCATCCATTTCATCCTCCTTCCCCCAGATTTCATAGTAGTAGTTGGAGGCTTCCTTTCTGCTTGGCTGATCTTTTAAAATAGATGAGAAATGCTAAAGACATATTTATCTAAATGATTTGAAGCAACGTGGTTGGCTGGATATTTGCTCACTGCTGCTTCACATTTTGTTGTTGTGGCACAACTGAAAATACCACCTGGACATGCCTGTGACTCCTCCAGCACAGCCAGCTGGCAGGAATGGACCAGGTTTAGGAAGTTCTCCAAGGACTTTTTTCATAATCTCTTAAATTTAATAGATATTTCTCTTCATCCCTAGTAAGTCCATCAAATCTTTGTCCAGAAACATGAGATTTCTTGGTAATTAAAGGGATGTTAAGCCCTGGAAGAGTTTTCTGAGCTGCACAGTGATGAAATGAAAAGTCAGCGTGTTTAGCAGCCAGGGAGCTGGATGAGGACAGGACACAGCAGTCAGTCAATCAATTTTCTCTTGAAACTGAGTATTTAGTTAATGAAGGAAGTGCAAAACCAGTTTCTCTACAAATATTAACTTGGCCTGACCCTTCCAAGAGAAGCATGGAAGAAAAGGCACTTGGACTGATTTTTTCCCCCAAGATTTTCAGTATTCTTTCACTCCAGACAATGTAGAAAGACAAAGCAAGAGATGTTTATTAAAATCCATGGATGCAACTCTCCAAAACTGATTGAAAGCAAACAAACTCAGCTATAGGTCAGGGCTGAAAGGAGCCAGCAGGAGAGGACTATTAGCTATCAATAGTTGCTGTAGGTGTAATGGAAAATCTGCTCTCTCTCTCTCTGTAATAACTTTGCTGAGCTTCTGGTCCATGTGGGTTTGCAGGTTCACTCTGCATTTTATAGAAGAAATGTGTATTCCAAGTGAAACTAAAGCTTCTCTTTCGCTCTGGCTATACTCATTGAGGAGCACAACTCAAACCAGGGCTGAAACATCTTGTGCTCCATATGTCCACTTCAACAGCAAATCGAGGGTAAAGCTTGGCTGTGGTTCATGAGGTAAAACCATTAAAAAGCAGCTTGGTGTGTTTGTTTGATGGAATATTCTTGCAGAACACTACTGAATAAGTGATGCCCTTCCCCTGGCTAGGTAAGACCACACAGGAAGGATGTGAGTATACTCAAATAGGTAACAAAGCTTACTTACACCTCCAGAAATTTCAACCCACTCCCCAAATTTACCGTTTCCCCCCAAACCTCTATGTTATCACAGCCTATATCCAAACACAGGCTGCTGGGATTAGCTCCAAGGCCAAGCTCAGCTCTAGCAGTGCCCACCCCAAGCACCCCCATCCCCAGGGAAGGCTGGAGGTACCTTTCTCTAGGCAGCTGGTGGTTAGGATTGTGCCGACACCGGACACTGAGGCCGAAGAGTTTGCGGGCAGTGCGCTGGATCTTCTGCCGTTGAGCTTCCAGGGAGCTCTGCAGCAGCTTGTAACGGTTCTGCAGGTCCCAGTCATTCCCCCAGTGCTGGTGGATGCTCCCAATGGTCAGGAAGTGGTTGCTAGGTAGCCTTTTCATGAAGGATTTAAACTCATCTGGAACACACAAGAACGGGGAGAAATACAGAGGTTTCTGAGCCATAATAAAGTTACAAAGCTTTTCATTAGCAGCCTGGAGAAGCAGCAGTGATGGACGAGGCCATCAGTGCTCTGCTATGGGAAGGTGATGTCCATTAACTCACTGCTCTCTCTGTCTGCCCCAGGAAGTTCACTAATTCCATGGCTGTTGCTGCTCCCGTATAGGAAAAATAAAAACAACCCCAGTGAGTATCAAAGTGAAACAATACAGCTAAAGGCTACAGGGTGGAAGAACAAAGAGAGAAACTCCCTGGAGCATGGGTTTGTAGTCCAGAGGTTGTGAACAAAAAGCAGGAGCTGTAATCATTGTCAGTTAAAGAGTTCTCATTTACATTGTTTTTCAGCTGCTCCTAACATGTTATTTGTTGTTGAAAGCAAAGCACTTTGTCTGTGTTGTTTTTAAAAAAAAGAGGGGAAAAAAAAAAAAAGCTTTAAAAATTCCCCAGAGGAACGGTTTGGATGGAGTTAAAATGTCCTGCTTTTTTGTTTCTTAAAAAGAGCATCATGATTCTTTTCTCTCATTGAACTCCATTTGAAGTGAAATGAGTTGCATTATGCAATGAGGAAAAATAAAATAAAATAGTTTGCAGAGCTAAGGTGAGAACAAATTGTGTCAATTTTAGCCAAAGGAAAAAACCATCATTGATCAAACAATATATTGTTCAATGTTGGTTTGTGTTCACTTTATTTTCATTTGATTTTCTTTGATAATGAAGAAAAGCATTATGTAGGTTTGAGGGTTTTTTTTCATCACGAAACAGACATTCTGATACTGTTCCTGTTTATGACCATCCCTTCTTCCTGAGCACTATGAAAGTGCAGTTTGCTCAGACTCTGATTACAAGGCAGGGACATCCTCAAATGTTAAAAACCAGATGGTTCCAACTTTCTCAGGTGAAAATAACCCAATTTTTGATACCTGAAAACTATGTTTGATACACTGAGACCTTGAGAAATGCAAGGAGTGGGCCAACAAAATAACCATAAAGTGCAATAAAGAAAAGAACCACATTCTGTACCAGGAGAGAACAACAGCACAGGTCAGTAGAGGCTTTGGAACATCATGTGAGCAACAGATGCCAGGTCAGTAGAGGTTTTGGAACATCATGTGAGCAACAGATGCTAGAAAGGGCTTGGGGATTATGGTGAGCTCCATGCTGAAGGTGGGTCTATGCTATGTTCTCACTGGAAATAAACTACATACTGGGCTTAATCAAGTCATTTGGGGGAGCTAATATTCTTCTCTGCTTGGCTTGGCATTACTGAGGCTGCACCTGCAATTCTCTGCCAGCTTTAGGGACACCCAACTACAATGGGGTGTAGAGAAACTGGAGAGCAGAGCTGGGGGCCATGGAGATACTCAAGTCCTGCAAAGTCAGGTGGAGGGAGCTGCAGTTGTTTAATTCAGTGAAGAGGAGGCCAAAGGAGAATCTAATTGCAGCCTACAACTGCTCGAAAGATACTTACAAATACAAAGGAAAGAAACTCCTCTTATTTCAGACAGGAACAGTTTGCAGCTTGAGAAATACAATTGATTGACTGAAAAACTTCTTGCTTTGGAGGTAATGCAGCACTGGAACTTACTGATCAGAGATGTAGAAGAACCTCTCATTTTAGACTCTGCTAGACAAACCCATGGCTGACCTCACCTAGCACTGGAGGAAGTCCTGGTTGTAGAAGGAGCTTGAACTAGAGCCCTGCCATAAGCTCCACAATGTAGCCATTTTTTCCTGTACATTATCTATACTATTTTTCATCCTTTCCTAATCCTTTTCTCTTTAATTCCTTCAGCCCATTTTCAGAAGGAAACGAGGACAATAGCAAAAAACAGTGGGAAAAAAAAAAAGGAAAGCTTGTACAGGTTGATATCTTTCCAAATAAAAAGAAATAATCCATAGAATTACTGGAGAAAAACCAGACCAGATAATTTACATCCTATAGCACAAAGTTAAAGATATTTGCATAACAGATTTTCTATTATTCATCAACTTGCAGTTCATGCTCAACTGCCTAACAAAGAATATCTGTGCATTAGTCAGTACCATCATTACAAGGATGGTAAATGGCTGTTCACATCCTACTCATCACATGGTGTAACCGAGCACCTAATGAAAATAATTGTCAGCGTTGCACTATCAAGATCCATGGGACATCTGTTTGTCTGCTTTCTTCCCCAAAGATAACTCAGATTTTTTTATTTTTTTTTTAATAATCTTTCAGGTTTTCACTCTGCTTTTAATGCAGCTTTCAGTGCCCTTCTCCTCCCCAAAAATGATTCTCTCCTGTTCACTGGTCCTCTGAAACCATCATCACGTCTAATTGCTTCTGTTGACCATGCTGATTACTCCGGGTACCTTTCAGCAGTAAAAGCCTTGCATTTGCTTCCCACCCCTTATAAATCAATTTCCTCAAAAGCCTGTTTGTGCAGAAGCCCAAGCTCTTTTCCCTCTGATGATGAATGTGCTACATTTTTCATCCAGACGGGGAAGGGAGAAATTTCGGTGCAGTGTGCACATTTTGCTACCGCAGTGCAACGCTGAGGGAAAAACAAATGAGCAAGAAATCTGGCAAAAATCAAAGCTGGATGCGTTGTTTAAAATAAAGGAGCTGAAAAAAAAAAAAAAAAAAACCCCAAACAAAATTCAAAACAGGAGAGTTTCATTATTATTTATTTATACTTATTTATGACTATACCTGGAAACCTCAAGCAAGAGTATGGCTGAGGATAGTCCTTATTTGTGTCAATAGTTCACTCTCAACCCTGAGAATTTCTGTTTAACTAAACGAGTGTGTTTGTATTTGTTGTTTTATAGCTCTGCACAGCAAGTGGTGATGATGGCTGGGACTACATCTCCCAAGATGCAGCTTGGCCTCTC